GACTGGATCCATCACCTTTCTGATCGTCTTCCTCAACCTGGAAGCTACAGCATTCTTTATCAATAGTTTTGTAGTCAAGACCATACCAACAGAGACCAAAGAGTACAGACATGATATTTGAAGGGCAAGACAAATACAAGACCAAGACCTTTAGAGGTCGAGACCCAAACAAGACCAAGACCTTTAGAGGTCGAGACCAAGGTAAGATCAAGACCTTCAGAGGTCGAGACCCAAACAAGACCAAGACCTTCAGAGGTCGAGACCCAAACAAGACCAAGACCTTTAGAGCTCGAGACCAAGGCAAGATCAAGACCTTTAGAGGTTGAGACCAAGGTAAGACCAAGACCTTTAGAGGTCAAGACACAAACAAGACCAAGACCTTTAGAGGTTGAGTCCCAAACAAGACCAAGACCTTTAGAGGTCGAGTCCCAAACAAGACCAAGACCTTTAGAGGTCGAGACCAAAACAAGACCAAGACCAAGACCTTTAGAGGTCGAAACCAAGAGAAGACTAACACCTTCAGAGAGAGACCATATAAGTTCTTGGTTTTATCTTGGTCTCTGTACTCCTTTGTGTCTGTTAGTGTGGTCTTAACTACAACACTTTTTCCAATGATCCATGCAGTCAAATCCGGAAATGAAACTAGTTTGGAGGAAGTTCAGCACTTCTTTAAGCTACAGGGAAAAACTCACAGATCTTTTTCTTCCTCATCATCCTCCTCTCCTCTCTGTTGAACTTTGAGTTGCTCATTGACCCCGCTCCGTTCCTTCAGCAGAGGAAGGCTGAACTCCACACCTAAACAAAGAGATGGCAGGGCAAGCAAAGATGGTCAGATTCTCCAGAACCGTAGATAGGAAAAAAAAAAAAAGAACCGTAGATACATAAAACAATCAAGCAGACTTTTAAGAAGCAAAGTTAAAAACGGCTAAAGAAGGGAAATGTTTACTGCCACCATTACTGGGAGAAAATATGACAAACAAAATAATATTGACTGGTGTAAAAATCAATCTTACCTTCAGTCTTCATCGCTTCCCTGAGACCGTGCGTTGTGGGAGAAATGATGGCGGTTATGCGGTCTGACCCAGCGAGACCTGCTGTCCTGAATAACGCTGTGAACTGAAGCAAGGCTGAGTCAATAAGTGACATAGCAACAGGAAGTAAGATACCAAGTAGCACGTAGATGTACCTGATAGGAGCAGACGTAGAAGTACGGACACAGACCTGCCTTTAAAAGGCTGTACAGAGACGACAAACTGATGGACCTAAGGAACAGAAGAGGGAATTACTTTTTTTTGTTTAATCGGTTGGCATGGCGACACACCTCCCTCCTTGAATGCGTGTACTTGTGTTTATCTCACCATTCTTTCATGAGGCTCTCCTGCACCGTCGTATCCTGACTCCAGGGGGCGCTCCTTCCAGAGAAGTTCCTCTCGGCGTTGATCCTGGGGAACAGGGACAGCCAGGGCAGAGACGGGTGCTGCCAGTACACCAGACACCGCTGGAAGGCGGACCGGACCTCAGACCAGGACCGGGGATCCTGCAACGGACACGCAGCTCTACTAAGACCTGTGAGCACTCCAATTAAGGCCTTGAAAAGGTAGTAGAAGGTAACAAACTGAACTCAACTTGGTAAATTTCTCGTCACTTCTTCAGTATATTCTGTCTTTTTTTATGTTTATCTAACCTGTAAATAAAGGACTAGCATATACGCCAGAACCCG